CACAGTGGGCCTGTCACCAGGGCAGTGACAGTACAAGTCACCAAGTTGCGGGGCCCTCTGTATGACCTCGGGGAAGCCCTCAGGGGAGCGGGTGGGTTGGGCCACCTGGGGTTTCCACTCTCTGGGGCTGCAACTCCCTCCAGGGCCGCGTTGTGCACGGTGACCCAGGACACAGACACCACAGATGCCGACACATACCCTCGCACCCTCAACTGTGAGGGGGCACATAGCAGGAGTGAAAAATGGTGCAGCCGCTTTGCAAAACAGTTTGGCAGTTTCTTAAGAAGTCAAACGTACACTTAACCTATGACCTGGCCATTGCCCTCCTAGGAATCGGTCCCGAGAAACGAACACAGACGTCCACACAGACCAGCACACAGGTGATCACAGCGGCACTGGTCACAAAGGCCTCGTGCTGTTAACAACCCGAGTGACCATCAAGGGGTGCATGGATGATGAAGTGTGGCCTGTCCACACGCGGAACGTTACTCAGCTGAGAAAGGAAGGACTGGCACACGCTCCAGCCCGGATGAATCTTGAAAACATGCTAACAAGCCAGTCACAAAGGGTCACGTACCATATGACTCCATTTATATGAAACGTCCACAAAAAGCACATCCACAGAGACAGAAAGCAGAGCGGTGGTTGCCAGGGCTGGGGGAGGAAGAATGGGGAGTGAATGAGGGGGCTTTTGGTGATGGAAATATTCTAAAACTGGCTCATGGTGGTGACTGCACTACTTTGTAAATCTGCTGGAAAGAGTCACTGAGTTGCATACTAACGATGGGTGATTATGCCCCACAGAGCTGTGCTCACCCCCCTCACTATTCTGGGGTCTGTTCACAGTCTGCTGTGCCCCTGCTCTACATGCGCTGTGGGAGCAGCTAGGCCTACCACCATCTCCTCAGGCCCACCCCTCCTCCTCCCTCTACCCATCCATCCACCCGCTCATCCACCCACCCGCTAATCCAGCCACCCACCCATCTTTCCATCCATCCATTCACCCATTGTCCCACCCCTCTCTCCCTCCCTCCACCAGTCCACCCACCCACCCACCCACATCATCTCAGCTGTTGTGAGGGTCAGACCCCTCAAAGCACTGTCCAGCCCCCACGTCCACCCCCAGCTTCTTAACACCACACAGCTGCGTGCTGGGCCAGCTTTGATCTTTATTGGTTCAAGTCCTTCCAGCTTCCTCCTTGGCAGCACACACCTGGTGGTGGGGGGGGCAGAGGACTCTGGCAGGCGGCCCCTTGCTGGGTGAGGCAGTGAGAGGTGGCAGCCCCTCTGGCTGGACCCTTCCTGTCTCCTAGGCCTGGCTCCAGGGCCTCCTCTCAGCCCAGCGGGAGGCAAGCCGGGCCCCTCTGGAGTTGGGAGCAGAAGCTGCAGGGTGGGTTCTGTTAACGGGGTGGGCAGGCCTCATGGCAGCCAGGGCAGACACCTCCCCACCCTCAGGGCTGGGTGTACCGGTATGGGGGCCAACTCCATGGGGTCCCGCATCCGTCTACTGAGTAGGGGCACCCTGGCATGCCCATGGCACTGCCGGCCAGCCTGCCTCTACCCAACGCCCTGGCGTCCTCTGACCCACCCTCCTATCCCCAACTCAGCCACCACAGAAGAGCAGAAACGCATAAACAGTCATATTTGGTTAAAACCACTCTCCGCTCCAGCCCAGCTGAGCAGTTTGGGAAGCAGGGCTGGGGAGCAGCGGCTGGGCTCCGTTAATGGGGCAGCGGGGGCTCCACCTCAGCCAAGCTCCCATGGCTTCAGGCAGAGGGGTCTGTGAGGGGCTCTCCCCAGAAGAATCTGGGTGCTGGGTGGGTCACTGAAGAGCAGGCTGCAGGCTTGGAGGGACCCCCAGGGGACGCAGCTGCCCGACCTGTCCCCGCTGTGGGCGGGCGCCGTGGTGCATGCGAGTCCGGGGTCAGGTATCAGCATTTAGGAAGCAGACCATGAGGGACCAGGGGCGTGCAGGTGGTCCAGGAGGGTGCCAGGCTGGCTAGGCCCCGGTGTCTGCTGGGGTCCCGGACGCAAGGCCCCAAGAAGGCTTGGGGAGGCCCACGTCCCTGGCTGGGTAAGGCACGGAGTTTTGGCTTCCCAGGGGCCCAGTCCCAGCCTGGCCCCAGAGGACACGTCCAGCGGGCCCCTGCCACGCGGAGGCCGGCGGCCTGAGGGCTCTCTCACTTGGCTTTGGGCTTGGGCCTGAGGCCTGTGGGGAGGGAGAGGAGATGACGTGGTCAGGAACAGCCTTGCTGGGGGCAGCACCAGGGTGCCCACATCTGGGTCCCCAGGCCCCTGCTGTCCTCCATCACCACTGCCCACTGGGCTGTGCCGTGTGTCCCTGGGGCCACTCTGACCCCAGGCCCTTTCTCCAGAGCAGCAAAGCTCATGCAGGTGGAAGGTGCTGGGGTGACCCCAGGAGGCTGCCTCTTGCCCACCTGTCCAAGCTGGGTCTCTGCGCCTCACTCTCCCTGTCTCAGACCTGGCTGCTCTTTGCCTATGATCCCCACGGTCCCTGCTTCTCTCTGGCTCCTTCAATCGCTTCCCAGTGGCCCCTCGCGCAGAATCCTCCTGCCTCGTCTTTCTCCAGCTCGGTCTTGAGGGCACCAGGGCCTTGCCCAATGGCTCCTGTCACCTGCTCGGCCCCCAGGTGGCCCTGCAGGCCACTGCGCACTCAACGCCCGCTGTGCTCTCTGGTCCAGGGACCCTCGTTCGGCTGGTCCCCCAATGCCCCGCCCCCATGGCCACCCCGGAGCCAGGCGCTGACCCAGGCCCCATGGGTCTTGGGCACAAAAACAAGTGGGGCAGAAATGGGCAGTCACCAAGACCCTCACAGCGGGGCTTCAGTGCCACTCCCCCTGCGGGGCTGGGGCGAACAGCGGGGGAGCCAGGATGGTGGGCTGTGCCAGAGAGACGAAGCCTCAGGGACTGAAGGGGACAAAGGAGCCAGCGTGGTGGCCCCACTCGTCCCAGTGGCTGCAGGGGCATCACAGCGGATGAGGGTAATGGGTCACCACACGCTGGAGAGACAACTAAAAAAGGGGGGGAGAGGGGAAATTCGTGGAAGGAACTATGGACGGAAATCTCTGTGTTGCAACTGCCAAGCAAACCGCGAGCCGTGGCTCGGGGCATCCCCACGGGCCGATCACCACCCACTGAGCGGAGCAGACTGTGCAGCCGGGCTGTTGCAACCACACCTCAACCACGGGGTCGTCAGGGTCACCAACCACGGGACAAAGGGGCCCCCGAACCCCTCTCTCGATGCTCTGGGGAGGACACGTGTCACGGGTGTGGAACGCCTGCCCCAAAGGCAACCTGGACCCAGCCAGAGGGCAATGGGACACACCCAAAGTGAAGGTGTCCCCCACGATGTTACACAAGACAAAAACGGGTCGATGTGTGGTCCTGGGTAGGATCTCATTTCCAAAAACCCAAAGCAATGACTACGAACAGTGTGGCGGGGACGGCTGGGCATGTCTGCCCGGGCTGCGACATGTGCTGGGTGTGGGGGGACGGCCTTGTTCTTAGGAGGCTCCTGGGCACACATTCAGGGGCCAAGTGCCGCGATGTCTGTAAGTGACTTCCAAATCGTCCAGTAAAGTGGGGAGGTGGGGGGTGGGCAATGCAGCAGATGTTAACAATTTTGCTATTTTTTGCAAGTTCTTGCCATTTCAGGGTGAAGCGTAGGTGGTGTTCATTACGATCTCATTGCAAACGTCCTGTTGGGCTGAAGTTTTTCCAAATAAACAGCTGGGGAGACGAGGAGGTGGGATTCCGTCCTCCTGACCTCAGCCACCAGGATGGCAGGACGGGGAGGGTGGAGCGAGCTAGCAGAGCAGACTGGCCCACCCGCAGACGGGGAGGCGCATGCCCGGCCAGGAGTGACCCCGGGGGCACAGACCTGCATTGGGCACGTTGAATTTTCACTGGACAGTGGCCACCTGTGTCTGCCAGCCCCCCGGACCCAAAGACCACACGGCCCACTGTCCCCCACACCTGGGCCAGCAGCCAGGGCCAGGGCCGCAAGGCCAAATCCCAGCCCCTAAGGGACATGCCAGCACCATTCTAACAGACAAAGCCAAGCTCAGAAAGTAACCCCACGAGCAAACCCCGGAGCGGAGGGCTAAGCTGTACGCATAGTGAGGATAAACTGTAAAGAGAGTTGCAGCCTTGACTTCACTCCTGCTCTGCTCTGCACCCTGGATCCTAAGCCCCAGGCCCAGTCGGTCGGCACAGCACTGTGGCCCGAGCCAGATGCTGGGCCCGCCCTGGCATGACTACAGGTGTGTGGAGACAGCCTGCGCTCATGGGGATAACAATCGGGCAGGGGACCCCTGCCCTGGAGCCCCCTCCACCCAGCACAGGCCAGGACGCAGCAGGGACCCGGGCCTGTCTGTCTGGTGCATCTGTGAGCCTCTCAGGCCACATCAAAGACCCTGACTGTCCTGTACACAGGCCCAGTGCCACCTCCCTGGGAGAGGCCTGCATCTAAACAGACCTGCCCACTGTTTCCAGGACCTGGCCTCCAGGGAGAGGAGGCCTGTGTATCCACCACAGGAATGATGGCCTGCCTGCTACTGGAGCCAGCCCTTAGGACCGTCCCTGTCTCTCACTGTCTCCCTGGGGACACACGTGGCCAGCACCAGGGCTAGAGGGGGGCTGGGGTGTGCTCTGTGGACTGACTAGGAGTAGAGGTGTGCGCCCCGTGGGCTGCTGGGTGTCAGTAAAGCCCAAGGCTAGCGGGGATTAGAGCCAGTCAACCTCAGCCTATCCCGCCAGGCCCTGGAGGCCAAGCCGCCCCCACCCTCACAGGCCCTGCTTCCCGGTGGGCTACTCTGAGGGTGCACCTTGCCGCAGCAGAGGAGACGCCAGCTAAGCGAGGCAGAGCTCCCGCCCTTCCCGGAGAGGAAGGGGGGAAGGAGGGGCGCAAGGAGAGGCCCACCACCAGCAGCACAGGAGGGCGGGATGCTTGCTGACGCCCTAGGCAGGGTGGAGGGAAGCCAGGTTAGTGCCCAGGAGGGGCCCGGCGCGGGCCGGGCCTCTGCCGCCCCGTTAGTGCAGAGCCAGGCGGTGTACGTACCTTACTGGATCACACAGAACCTTTTTGTTTTATTATCGTCAGTGTCTGGGGCAACCTCTGCTTTCAAATAAAAGAAACGCGCTCAACAGCTGATCACTAGTGAGCAACCCTGAACTTGGAGCCGGGGCCACAAGTGCACCGAGCCAACACGCAGCCGCGCCCCAGGCCCCACGCTGCGGCAGCCACCTGGCACTCCCTGCCGGAGGCGGCGTGAGGCAGGAGTTAGTGGGTTAGGGGCAGAGCAATCTGGGCGGTGGCCCCCCAAAAGCTGCCCCCCGGGTGTCTCCTGTCCTGCAGGATGTGGGGATGCCCTGGGAATCACCCACTCTCAGGGGGAAGAGGAGGGACCGGCCGGCCACAGGGAGGGGTCCAGGGACCCAGCCTGGGATGGATGAGCTTTGACTGCACGCAGATGCCCCCAAGTCCTGCGTGACTCACCCACCCGGCCCCCTGCTCTGGGGGTGACAAGATCGCAGAGCCCCGATTTACCTTCCTGGATTCTCCTGGACCGCTGCTTCCTCCTCTTGCCTGGTCCCTTCGAGGCCCGGCCCCGGGCCCTGGGGAGGGTGCCAGATCCCGAGGAGTCGGTCACTGTGTCCTCCGAGAAGGACTTGTCCAGGGATGTGTCCAGTGCGGAATCTGGGGCTGTGTCCTCCTCGTCCCTGTCCCCATCCTCACCGGGCACTGTGGCGGGGAAGCTGGCATCACAGCCATGGGCAGCTGCGTCCTCTGGCCCCTCGCCTGTGCTGTCGGCCTCAGCCTGGTGGGCGCCCCTCGGCGCTGTGGGGTCCTCAGTGTCTTGGCTGGAACCCATGGCCCCGGGGGGCTTGTCACTGGAGAACTGGAGGGGCTTCAGGGCTCGAGTGTCTCCCAGCCCCACTGAGCAGGCCTCTGCAGAGGGCTGGGGGCCCTGGGGGTCCTCCATGGCCAGGAAGTCACAGGCATCGATGTACCAGGAAGACCGCCTCTCCAGCGGACCCGGGCCGCCCTCCTCTGATGGATCTTCGGCGGGGGGCGGGCTGGGGGCGGTAGCATCCATAAGGTCCCAGCCTTGGGGCTCTGTGGCCACTGGAGTGTCAACAATGGGCTTAGAGGCTGGGCAACTGGTGCCTGCCTTGGGACCTCCCGTGGGGTCACTGGTGGCCACTGTGGATAGAGAATGTTATCAGCGGAGGGCAGGGCCCCACCTCCTGAACCATCCCCACGGCGCCCTGCTCAGGACGTGCTCTCCTTCCATCTCAGCTTCCACCCCAATGCTGCCAGCCCTGCAAAGCCCCCACCCCCAGCACCCTTCCCAGGTGGCCTCCAAGCACGGGTTCCCACAGGCTAGGCCCAGGCCTCAGCGTCCACAGTCTGTCCACAGTGTGGGACAGCAAGGGAGAGCAGGCCCCACGGAGGCAGCACACGTCACCCCTGTCCCCAGCGGCCCGAGGCAGCTGCCCCTGGGGGGGGAGGGCCCCTCCCCCAGGCCCTCATGCCTGCCTCTCCCACCACCTCAGGCCCCCCGAGCCCCAGGGGCATCTGTCAGTGGGCCTACTGGCCCATCAGTCCTGCCAGTCCTGGGGGCTGGACGGACAGCTGTCTCCCGGTGGGGAGCCCTCAGCTGCAACAGAGACACGTGGGAGCACCATCAGGCCGAGCTGACCCTCCAGCCCCGCCTCTCGGCTGACCCGTATCTCAGGGTGGCAGGGAGATGAGAGGGCTCTCCCAGGTGGTCAGGGAAGGCTTCCTGGAGGAAGGGAGGTGCTGGGCCACAAGGATGGCCTAAGGCGCGGACGGCGGACAGGAAACGAACAGAGTTGGGCGAAAGTCTCACCAGGCGCCCTGTCCCTCGGGGGCTCTGCAGCGGCTGCCTTGCTGCCCCCATCTGCGTCCCCTCGGCCGCGGGCTGTCTTCCGCAGCTGGAAGCCCTTCCTGATGTCGGCCAGCAGGGCATCGATGACACACACCTCCTCCTGCTTCCTGCCTCCCTTCCTGACTGAGAAGCCACAGAGACCCTCAGAGACGCTGCTCACGGGGTCCCCGGAGCCCACCCGGGTGGCCTTGAGAGGAGATGACCCAGGGGCGGGGGTGGGCGGTGCTGCAGGACTTTGGGGCAGGGAGGAGAGGATACGGCCCCTGCCCGCCCCAGGCCAGGCCTCACCAGGCTTCCCGTCCTCGTTCCGTGGCCTGCGCGCCTCCTCCTCTGCCAGCTGCTGTTTCCTCCTCTCGGCCTTCGCCGCCTGCTCCTTCCGGTCCTTGTTCTCCTGCGCAGGGCAGACGCGGAGCCGGTGACCCCGGGGCCCTGGATCCGCCACGCAAGCCTGCCCCGCCCGAGGACAGCAAGCGGCCGCCGGACCAGCCCCGGCCCCGGCCCACCTTCAGGGCGCGGAGGAAGAGGTCCCGGAAGGTCTTCATGGTGCTGAACGTGTCCTCCAGCGAGAGCTGCTGGGCGTCCTCGCACAGGTAGTCGGCCAGCTCCAGCTTCTTCTGCTCGATGGCCTGGAACACCTCCTCCAGCGCCTGGGAGCCCGCGATGCTGGCCTGGGGGCACGGGGGCGCGGTCACAGGCCCGCGAGGGCCCGCAGCTGCAGGAGGGTGACTGCCACCGGCACAGGCCCTGCAGCAGTGGTCTCTGCGCAGGACCAAGGGTCTGGGCTCTTCGGCCCCCAGGATCAGGGAAGGCCCCTCACTCTGGCTCTCTGCTCCCCCACACTCACCTCCCCACCCTGGCTCACTCCTACCTTACCGGCCCCAGGCTTGGGGCCTGGCAGACACCCTGGAGGGGCCTGCCTCCCTGGAGACCGCTGGGCAGTGCTTCCCCGGCCCAGGGCCCGCCCGCCTGCTGGGCACTTGCCTGGAGGCGCTGGGCGTACTGCTCCTGCACCTCCGGGATGGAGGAGGACACCTTCCTCTCCATCTCCAGAAGCTTCTTCAGGTTGGTGCTGGACTCCGAATGGATGATCTCCAGGTTGATCCTGAAAGGTACAGAGGGCCGGCTGGGATCAGGTGACAGCTAACGTCCAACTTGCTGGACTGCACACTGCAGGTTGCCAGAACCAAGTTAGAGCTACAGGACGGGCCGAGTGGTGTTGGGGTGAAGTGCCCGCCATGGCAGGTTCTGGGCCTGTGGCGTTAGGACTGTGACCCAGCAGCTCAACCTCTCTGCACCTGATCCTCCTCGCTCGACCCTTAAAGTTCAGCAGCTCCGGAACCAGAGAACCTTCCACAGCAGTGTGGACCCTAGAGTTGGATGGCCTGGGCTGCCCTCCCAGAGCTGCCCCCTCCAGGCTGTGGGACCCTAGGGACGTGGTCCTGCTTCCTCAGGCCTCAGTTTCCCCGTCTGTGCAATGGGGGTGGCACGGCCTTGCTCACTGGTTAACTTTGTAAAGAGGCCATGTTAGACCTGCCCCTAGTGTGACTGTGGCCAGGTTACTCCCTGCCCCTTCGAGGCCTCTGTTCCCTCCTCTGACTGACACGGGGACAGGCCACGGTGGACACGAGGTCCTGCCCCAGAGTGAAAGTGAGCGTCTTTTCGAGCAGTGGGTCCTGGGGGCCCGAGTTGTGCTGCAGCCGTGAGACCCAGCCTGGTCCGGCCACCTGCTGGCCGGGTGAGACGGAGGTGGTGCGGGAGGCGCCTACCCTGCCGCCTGGGAGGGCTGCTCCAGGTCCTGGGGCAGCTGCAGGAGGTCCGGGTGGCTCTTCTCCACCTCCTGCAACAGCACGCGTCCAGTGAGCCCGCTGCACCCATCCCACCCTCTGCAGCTCAGGCCCATGTCCCCGGGAATGCCTCAGCGCTCTGGGCCTCCAATCCCCGCCTTGGGCCTGGTGTGATTCTGGACGTTCGTGCTTTTCTTGGGGACTTGTCGGGGGGACAGAGGTGGTCAGAGCAAGCGAGTGCTGCCGGGGGCAGACAGGCCGAGGGGGGTGGTGCTGCGATGGGGGGGGCACTCCCGAGAGGGGCTGTGGGTGGTGGGTGTGGACTCCACCCTGAAGGCCCAGGGAGGCCCCAGAGAGCGGCCACCTCCAGCACGTGGTGCAGCAGCGTCACGCGGCTCTGCTGGGACTTGGTCTCCGTGAGCTTCAGCAGCGTGCTGATCTTGAAGCCGTCGGCGTCACCTGTGTGGCTGCCCTGCGAGGGACAGGGACGGGGTGAGTCTCCCTGTCTCCCAGGGGGTGTGGGCGGGCCGGGGCGCAGCCCACTTACGTAGTTGAGGAAGTTTCCGATTTTCAGGATCAGCTGGCAGAAGACGGGCAGCTGGTGGCTGGTGAGCAGGCCTGCGGGAGGGCGCCAGGGCTGAGGGAGGGCACGGCGGTGCAGAGCCTCCAAGGGCCTGGCGTGGGGTCTGGGTCCGCTTCTGGTTTTCTTCACTCCCTTGCCCCGGACCCTTCCCACACTCAGCCCAGAGGTGGGCAGGGCAGCTGGAACGCCCCACCACAAACAAGCTCGGGGGCCTGGGAAGCAGGTCTCCCCAACATCAGGGTTCACTAAACCCTCCCAACCCTAGGGGCAGATGACTGCTGCCCTGTTATGTGGGTGAGGATGCTGAGAGGAACTTTCCAAAAGCTGTGGCCACCCTGTTTCTCAGCTAACCATCCCTTGCGGCTTTGGGGAGGGCGGTCCTCCTGGCTCTGTGGCCAAGATGGGAGTGGACGTCCAATGTGTGCGTCCCCCCAGAAATGAGCCGCACCTCGGTGGTCAGGCCCAGCTGTGCCCCTGGCCCGTGGCTGCGGTAAGTCCCTGCTGACTCCTTGCTCAGAGAAAGTGGTGCATGTCCATGTCTGTGTGCACGTGTGTGCAGTCTGTGCATGCATGTGTGCAACAGTGTACACATATGTGTGTGTGCGTGCGTGAGTGTGCAGGCACAGTGTGTGTCTCAGAGCCAGGGGTGGCGGTCCACGGCGAGGTGGAGAAGGTCAGAACCCATGGCTGTGCTCGGTGGCTGTCACGACACCGAGGGAGCAGGGGCCGATGGGCGCCCCTCCTGGCGCCCCAGCCCCCAGGGCTTCGTGGCCCCACTCACTCTTGCAGGCGGCGAGCACCAGCTGGGCCTTGGGCCGCACCATGTCCAGCACGACGGCCGTGCCCTCACACAGCAGCATGCACTCGACCCGCAGCTGGTAGCTGGGACAGCAGAGCAGGAGGTCAGGGGCCGGGGGCCTCCACACACACGCCTTCCCTGGGCCCGCAGCTTGGGGGCTGAGGATCCACTCAGCGCAGGGCTGGGGGGAGCGGCGTCCCAGAGCCCGTCCCTGTTCAACATGCACATTCCCTGGCCAGGCCCCACAGGTTTCGGCAGGGCTGGAGTGCAGCCCAGGAAGGGGCATTTCAGACAAGCACCCAGCGGCCATGGAGGTGCAGAGCCTCCCTGTGGGCAACCCTGCCTCTTAGAACAGGTGGGAGTCTGAGCTGGGGTCTCCCAGGAGGACCTGGGGCAGCCTCAGGAGGCCGCAGGGGCCCTGCCCACCCCCACCCCGACCCCCACCACCGCTGGCCTGGAGGAAGACCCCAGCCACACAGAGTCCCCTCAAGAGGCCCCACGGCTGCGGGTGTATGAGTGATTTCCCCGCCTTCCTCACGGAGCCCTGGGGGAACCGTCCGCACAGCCCCACTCGCTCCTCCAGGTCTGGGCCAGCTCCCGCCCTCACCCCCTGCCCCTTCTCCACAGGCGTGCCCCGGGGTTCCAAGGGCTGCCGAGCTCACCAGGGAACGTCCAGCAGGAGAACGTAGAACTGGTCAGCGACGGCCAGCTTGGCTGGGTCCTCCGTGAAGGAGCGCAGGTTTTCAATCTGTGGGGAGGCGGCCCACCTGCGGGATTCCAGCTTCTGGCCCCCCAGGAAGTCCCCCCAAGGAGCCCTGGATGCCCAGTGGCCTCCACTGCTCACTCCAGCACCTCTCACATCCGGGCACAGCCCATGTGGCTCTGGGCAGTGGGGTGGGGGCAGAGCTGGGTCCCCCACCCCCACCGCTGGGAGCCCCCATGGCAGGCCCGGCAACCTCTCAGTCTCCCATCCCCGCTCACCTCATGCTTCTCAGGAAGGAGCTTGAGGAGCTGTTTGAGCACCTCCACGTCAAACTTGGTGGTGTCCCCCGCCCGAATCATAGCGGTGACCTCCTCATTGGAGCTGGAGGGTGAGAGGACGGACGGGCGCGGTGGGGACGGTAGAGGGAGACATGAACCACCGCCGCCTTGGCCTTCTCGGGACCCTGCCAACTGGGGATGGCCCTTGGCCCACGTCACCTCTGCTGGTCACACCAGGGTCCCCTCCCACACCCACGAGGTTGCTGGGACACAGAGAAGGCAAGCCACCTGCCCGGGGTCACATAGTAATGAGGCTGGGGGCTGAATCACACACTCCCCGTCTGCCAGAGCACCCTCTGCCTCCCCATTCAAGGGGGCTGCTCAGGACACAGGCGGGATGGCTCAGCGATACCCAGCGAGTTCCCTTGTGTGGGCCAGTGCCCAACATCTGCAGGGAAGGACTCGGGGCTGAGAAGCGGAGCCAGGTCTCCACCCTGGCTTGGTGACCACGTGTCTGTGGCTACTTAGGGGGTCCCCAGCTGCTCTCTGGATCTCAGTTTCCCCAGGGAGTCTGGACTGGTGGTCTCCAGGGTCCCTGGCTGGGGCAGTCTGTGGCTGTTACCCCACTGTCTCCAGCCCCAGGGAAGGGATGTGCACTTCCCAGAGCAGCCCGCAGAGGGCACTGCCGAGCCAAGATGAGGGGGCAGCTGGTGGGAGGGGCTGGCCCTGAGACGCGGGCCCCCTCCCAGATCCTCGCTGCTCACCATTTAAACTGCTTCAGGAAGATGTTGAGGCTTAGGCTCTTCTTGGAGTCCAGAAAAGTGATCTGGAAAACACCCCTCGCTCATCAGGCTGGTACCCGGAGGGTGGGCACAGAGCCCCCCCCCCAATCTGAGCCTGACCCCTTCCCCACCTCCTTGGGCTCCTTCCTGGTCTGGGCCACTGCTGGCTCCTTGGGCTTGGCCACGGGGAAGGAGAATAGCCGCTCGATGCTGGAGAAGTCGGGCTCCACCACCTCGGCGCCCGGGCTGCTCAGCGAGGACCACATGGAGCTGCGTTCTGTGGATGAGGTGCCCCCGTGAGGTGCCCCCTCGCGCCTGCCCGGGGGGCCGAGGTGCAGGTGGGCCCCACAAAGGAAGCCCTCCAGCTGCTGTCACGCTGGGTGCATGCATGTGGATGCATGCACGCATATGTCCAAGTTGGTCGGCGACCTGGCCTCTAGCCGGCCCTGCCCTTGACCTCAGCATCAGCACCCCAGCCCCCAAGGTGACAAGCACCCAGGAGCCTGGGCAGTGCAGGGGCAGTAGCATCAGAGACACACACCAGCCTGCAGGGGTGCGTGCAGGGGGAGAGGGCCCTCAGAGGTGACCTCTGACCTGCCCTCGTGCTGCCCCCAACTACACAGGAGCTGAGCTCAGAGCAGGGATGGCCTGCCCTAGACACACACAGGGGGCCCGTGCATGGGGGGCCAGGCCCAGGTGTGAGCACACATGCTCCACGTACCACCTGCCACTGTCCCCAGCAGGGCCCAACCCCGCCCCCAGGGGGAGCCACCTGCGGGGACCTGGGGGTCCTCACCCCTCGCCACGTTGGATGGCAGCTTCTGCCAGTTCAGCTTCTTCATGCGCAGTGTGGGCGGGTTCACCCGCCGGTGGCTTGGGACCCAGGCGGAGCCCAGGCCGTGATCCACCTGAGCCACGATGACCTCCTCCACGCCATCCACTACAGCGGGGCCGGAAGTGCCAGGTAGGGGTGGGGGTGGGGGTGGGCACCCCATGCCAGGCAGTGGTGGGGGTGGGGGCGGT